ATTCGTCTCGTTAGGTAGTAGACGTTTTACCCAGTAAGAATCTAGGCAACATTATAGATAGTTTATTTTCTATGATATATTAGTAGGCCTTATGATAATCACCCCGTCCGTGCTTTGCCTTGTGCCCTGTCCTGTTTTTATTTGGGTCCTGCTGGGCTCCTTGCCGGTGTTCATGTGTTGCTGAGACGTCTTACTTTTCATATAATGTATTGTATATGTTATTTACTCCTTTTCTATCTTGCTGTAAGATAGACAAAGAAAATGCAGCAACAAAATATGCATATAAATACACCATCAATATAACAACCTGTTTTCATTACCTAATAAAGTACTTTTAGTCAACATTGCTAGAAGTCAACGCTCTTTAGTAATGTTTGACAATCTTTTTTATAACCTTATATTCTCTTTGAAAATTCCAATTTTCTTTCTGCGCTACCCATTGTTATCTTGTTTAGGGCACACTCTTTCACATTCTTTCACCGGGCACCTTATGCCGCTTTTCACGGAATATCACGACAGTTTCACATTTATTTACACCGCTGTATGAATCTGTCTGCCGATATTTCAAAATTCCACATTATACCATATCCATGAATGTAGAATTCAATGAAAAGTTTTAATGAAACTGAGCCTGCAACAGTTTGAATTTACATAAAGTGTATGCCAAAATATTTAAATTTATATTACCTAATTAATTTTTGTATAATTGAATGTGGCAGATATGGAACGACCTTTTGCGATAAGAATCATAAAATGTCATTAATTTTCTATTTATATGATATCAATTGAAGCCACAATTGCTTCACTAAACGGAGGTCAAATTGCAGACTGTGATTCTGTTACTGAATTTGTAGTCATGTTACAGGTATAACTTGTTGCTATAGAAACAGAATCAGTATTATGTATTTGTGGAATCAATAAATTTCATTTAAACAGAATATGAAGTCATTAAATGATTTACGGTGCTTGTCAAATGGATAAAGAAATATCGACTTTAAATCTTATATATACAAATTTTATATACTTTCTGTGGCGCACACGTGACATTGAAATAAATAAATTTGGCATTACACTGATTCTTTAGAAATTTTATTTTTATATTGAGAGTTTAGAAGAATATTCCTTGTTGTTATTATGTTATATAACAATTGTCACTAGCAATGGCTGTGAATTATCGGTTGGTTCTGTGTGGCTGCCTTAGTTGCTGCGTTCAATGAACGTTACTCCCCTTTGTTGATCTTTCCTTTTTATATTTTAACAGCGGGGCGTACTTGGCCATGTGGTTAAGGTCGTTGACATCAGACCACCAGTCCCTCATCACTGTGGGTTTGAATCCCGACAAGGACTTTGCATTTGTTTATGTGAGAAGCTATCCAGATACTTTACAGAACGTCGGTGGTTTTACTCACGTGCCCGTTCGCCCTGAAAAAAATGCACGGAATGCACATAAGGTCTTCTTCTACCAGAAAAACTGGAAGGTATGTTATGATTCAATACCTATTTTTTGATAAACATATATATAAATATGAGCTTTTCAAAATAAAAGGGGAATTAAAGGCTTAAAGATCAGCAAGGATCAGAACGTTCACGGAATGTATTCTCCACAATAACCTAGACCAACAGGTCCCAACGTGGTACCCAAAACGGTATGGGCATACAATCTAGACGACGGAGGCTGCCAATTCATAACCAAATGAAAGCTTTATTATGATTATAAGTGTCGATATATTTATAGTACATTTGTATAACTATAGGTAGATACGAAACTATATTTTTAAATAATGAATATATATTGGAGAGTAACATAAATTTTAAGTCCGACCTAATTACATTTGACAAAAAACTTTACATTTATAGATCAGATTCATTGCTAAATGAATAACATTATAAAATATACAAAAAAGTATATTAAAGCTGCATGCCTTCAGATGAGCCAAACATTTCAGGAAAATCAATATTGAGAAAAAATGTATTTAATTTTAAGAAAAGAAAATAAATTCAAGATCCAAGTTACATTTTACATGTTATGTGCGTTTACGACTGATTTTTGAAGTATTTTATCACCATATTGCTACTGCGTTTCTAACGCAGTAAGGGCTGTTTTTGTATATGTTGACCCCTTTTTGGTAAATTTCTTTGATTGTAAGTGCCGATTGCAATATGTAAATTACTCTATTTGTTCACCTAACAATATTTTACATTTAAATTAATTTACAAACTTTTCATGAAAATTAACATGAATCTGGAGGTAGTCTTAACGCAAAAAAAAATAAAAAAATAAGAAAGTTTTGTCAATACAACAATTTGACATTCTTCCTAAGAACACGATTGGCTTATCTTTATTTTGTGTTATTATTCGGAACTGGGTCAACTATTTATTTTTAGATTATCTCATACTATAAGACAAAAAGACAGACAGGCAATCAAGACAAATATTCAAAATAATTTCAAAACTTTCAACACTTTGGAAATATGCCATCACCTGCCACATCTACTTTTAAAATTATTTCATACATCATAAACATTTCATAAAAGTTAAAAGTAATTAAAACTGTAGACATAGATGGTTGAATATCAATATTTATTCTTATAAACGTCTGCTCATTCCATTAAGTTAAATAGAGAATAATTGTTTAGTTCAGTGTTAGATCGGAATATAGTTCACCGAGTGAGCACCAAAAGGTATATTTCACGAGTGGCGCAGCCAAATTTTGGTGTTCACGAGGTGAAATATATTTTGATCTTACACTAAACTAAACAAATTTTCTTTTTATTATATGCAAAGAAACGTTTAAAAAGACATTTTAACCTGATACTAAATGAAAATCGCGCCAAACAATAATTCAACGTGACGTCATTTACCACGTCACGTCATTAAGTCGGTTTCCAGTACTATACACGCTGGAATTCCACTGAAACAACATAACAGGCCTAAATCTAAAAATAGTGAAAAATATCAAATTGATAATTTCACTGTTTCAAACAGTGAAATATCAGTATTTCACTGATATTTTTCTATAAACCACCGAAAAGCATGTAATAAATAACAATATATAAATATTTCCTCCGATATGTTAGGAAAAGCTTATTAGTAAATAGATTCTTTTGTTATTCGAAAAGAGCGATTGTGGAAGGTAATCAATTCTTTCGTATAATAAAATAAAGTTAATAAAGACCAACTAAGGAGAAAAACGTTCATTGAACGCAGTCATAACAATATCCAAATGTAACGGCACCCGGAGGAGCATTAACAGGACAAGGGCAGACAAACAAGGTGTTGAAGGTGGGGGCAAGGATTAACCAAGAGGGAGCATTCCCATTTTTACCAAACATCTGCTACATCATGTTTCATCTTGAGAAATGAGTTGTATGGAATGCATGCTTACAAAACACTTATAATATAATCACTATTAAAATACTGACGTCATAAACCACTTCGTGCCAGACTTGTAAACACATAAATTTTGTAATAAAAATCATTGACGAGTTTGAAAAGTAAATAAAACCAGTTGGGATGATTTTCTAAAGCAGAGTGAGGATTTACCATTTGAATAACGTTTGAAAATACTTAGTTTGTTCAGTTTCAAATAAATAAGACAGTCGTGGTAACCACAAGTAAAACATGTTTCTGTGTAAAATTGTGTTTATTCTGTTTCTGTTAACTAGTAGAACACATTGTGAAGAACCTCGCTGTTCTAAATATGATTTTGAGGAAAAGGTTCTTGAAAAAATGGTACGCATAGAATTTCAAATGGAGCAAATGAAAAGTGAAGTAGAACAATGCGTTAAAAGAGTTGAAAGTATCAAGGTGGAAGTTAGTGATCAAATGACGACAAATCAAAAAGAATTTGAAAAAGGTTTTAATGTCAGAATGGAAGAAGTATCTAATTTCACAGCTGTGGCTAAGGCAAAACTTCACGAACTTTAAGATTTTAAAGGTATAACAACTTTTATGTATCATGTTTTCATAACATCATGTCTCTTTTTATTTTAATACTGTTCAAAACGAATAAAAATAAACTATGATAAACTGATAAACAAACAGCAACTGGCCTCTCAAGCCACTTATCAAGTATGAAGTTGACATTCCAAGCACTTTTCGAGTTATTTTCTGGACACAAATCTATCACAAAAACTATAAATGGCCATTGATTAATGATATGCACACTTCCTTTAAATGATATATCAATCAAGTTTCAAGTTAATATCTCAAATAATTTTGAATTATGCATGATACAAAATACAAAATTTACAATGAAAAATATCAAAGGAAATCACTCAAAGATTATAATTGGTAAAGTTATCAATCTTGTAAACACTTCTCGATAAAATAAAGCTTGAGAAATCATTGAAGGGCAATAACTCAAACTTTATGATAGAAAGAGTACATTGCATTCCTCCTTAATGACATCTTTTCGCCTATGAAGTTACAACTTATATCTGAAAAACGTTTTAAGTTATGACAAGAATAAAAAAATCATACAAATAAGAAAATAGTTTAGCATGATCAATAGCGAAAAAGCAATAACTGAAGAATTATAAATAAAAATAACAAAAAAGAAAGCGATAAATCAACAATAAAAGATAGAGTTATCATTCTAATACACTGTACTATTCCTAAATGAGATACATCTACGTATGAACTTTCAATTTGGTATCTCAAAAAGTGTTTGAGTTACACTCCGGGCAAAAAATCTTGGACAGACGCACGGACGGGACGAGAGGGACGGCGCTAACATCGTATCCCCCTTATTTGTAAAAGTTTTAGTTGACCTTGGTTTCAAGCACGATTTGGATCAGGATTAAACACAGATTACTTTCAGCAGACTAAAATCAAAAGATTTTAGATTTATTCCTTAAATTTGATTTTAAATATTTAACTCACTTATTTATCAATAGTGTTTGTTTTACTACACACCTTGTTTGATATTTCTTAATACATGATTGTAAAGTTTATTACCTACTTGTGAATAAACTATGCAATGTTCCTTCTTTTTCAGAAACGGCTGTTACACCAACAATTGCATTTAAGGCAAGATTAAATGTAGATACAGCAGTGACGAACGCTGGTCAGACCATAGTGTTTCCAACAGTAATTTTCAATGAAGGAGACGCGTATAACCCTAATACAGGAATGTTTACAGCATCCGTCAGTGGTACATACATGTTCAGTTTAGCTTTCTGTGTCTACAGCAGCCGCTCGCTGGTTGTTGGTATAATGATTGAAGGGACAAAATACACAACGTCAATGTTCTATGGTGATGGAAATCACGAATGTTTATCTGCTGATACTGTAGCAATTGTGACCGCCGGACAGAAAATATGGGTTCAAGTACTACCAGGTGGTAATACTGGTACAATATTAGACCAAGATGCTATGCGATGGAATACATTTGCTGGTGCTTTGATAAATAAACGTTAGTCTATATTTACTATAATCTGGGTATTTCTTCTGATACATGTAGTTTAGAAAAACACCAAATATTTAAAGACTATGAAACTATGAATGCATGTCTTTATGAACTGTGGCAAACTGCGAGAAAGAGAGTGTAGATCGGAGAACTGTTAGATGTACATGTGCTTGTATAAAAGCTTTGATTTTTGGAGACAAAACCTCTTCTGGAATTTGCAATGCACTATAACCTGATTCGCTACTGTTTTATAGTTATTTGTCTAGTGGTTGTCATTTCTTTCGTGTTTCTTTCTTTTGAAAGTAAATTTAAAGACGTTGTTGCAATCGTTTAAAAATTCATTAAACGGTGTTATATAATTCATAAAGTATTTATTTAAGTAGTTTATTTTAAGTCAAGATATGATGTAAATTGGGCAAAGAATTTAATACCTCATGACTTTTACATTATGAATATATCTTGTAAAGCATTCGATTGCACGTATCCTGTTGAATTGTTTGTTGAACGTCATGTAGAATTTTTATGCTGACCATTACTTTCGACCGATTTGACCCTGACGTTCTGATTGACAATCGCCACACGACGGTGATGCCGAAGAAACATTTTCCACAAGCTATATCAACCAATTCTATGTTATTCATATGCATTTATATAAAAAAATTGTTTTAGTTCCCCGACCATTAATTTGTATACATTAGGTATTCAAGTATTCATATTTTAATTGCTTTCCTTGCCATGTTTAATTGTCAAGGCGGGGAATTCTTGCTATAAATTGAGAATTTTTATAAGGAGGCGAAATAAAATAAATAAGTTAACAAAAAGATTAATTGATTATTCTTTTACCACCGAAACTATGGAATACTGTCTTTGAAAGTTTGCGTGTGCCCTTTTCTTACCAATGTAATTCCTGTAAAAAATGTGCATTAAATCACAATTCTATGTGAAATATTCATCCAACTAAGATCATAATAAAACTAGTTTTAAATTGAATGCAGCATAATTACTTTGATTTAAACTGATACCATTTGAAATGCTAAATATCTTAAAGCGTCATGGGCGTGATATTCTTCAAAATTTACTAGATATATTCTCTATAATAGACAGTGGTTTACGATTTTTCGATTAAAGACTCATGTTTCGGTCAAGATATTGTCTTTTTCGGCCGAAAGCTGTCTAAAATCACTTTGAATTCCTGTAAACTTTACAGTGGGAATAATTATTTAATGATTGCCTATTACATTGAGGTATAAATTGGATTCCGTTAATTGTTTAAAGTAATGAATTACTCGTGGCAATAATAAAAGTTGTCTGATTCATTCACTTGCAAACAACTCAACCAAAATATTTTTATTCGTGTTTTAAAAGCATGTTTTAACCAGTGGTAGAAATTGTGAAGAAGTTTGGATTTCATAATACGATTTTGGGGAAAAGTTGTTTTGTTTGCTTAGAAATGAAAAGAAAGAATATTTAATATGTTTTTATTAGAGATGTAGCTCGCACAAACTTTTGAAATAAAAATCATCAAAGTGCAATAACTCAAAATTAATTGAACTGGAAAATATCGACGATTTGCAGACTAGACTTTGTACTGATCATTTCTGTATAATTTGGATGAAATTGTCTCAGCACTTTTTTAGAAATTGTCTGAATTTCTGTGTTGCAGACGTGGCATTTTGAAAAATAAATTTTGCTTTGCTCCGATTCCAAAGTTGACAAACAACACGTACTCGGTTCTAATACTACATCAATTACTTTACTGTTATTTGATGAATATTTGGAAGTTATAGTGCAAAGTACCCGGTATTTTAATCTTTGGCAGATGGTGTTATCGTCTTTTAAATGCTCTTTCAGATTTTTCCTGAAAATGAGATTTAGTTTTGGAAATATCAGGAGTTGTTACGATACCTTAAACATACGTGCCAAAATCTCAAATTTTCAGACAATTAGAGTACAAAGACGCGTATGTGTGGTCATAATTTGTGTAATTAAACATTTAAAGTCCTATTGGAAACTTGTTTTGGGATAAGATAATTTAATATAAAAGTTGTTATGATTCGAGATAATGGTATCGTAAACGCTACAAATTTTATCAAAGTCTTAAAATCACTGGACAAAATATACTTATTATAACAATTTTTTACAGGTTACTGGATGCGGTTAGTTCGGTTTTCATATTTCTTTGGTGTCGTGTCAGATACTGTTGTTTTGCAATTTAAGTTCCGCAGAAAAAATTCTTGATCTTTTAAGATATAAATAGTTCAAACAAGAAGTATCTTTAAAAAAAGATACTCGACTGAAATAAAACTGGTTAACTTGTATATGTTATTTCGTAGTTTTCCATACGTATAGAGATGTTAGGGATAATTCATAACAATAACATTATAATTTCTTGTAGAGTTCTTAATCTTGGAGAATGGAACACTGTAAGATGCATGTGGCCCTAAATGAACCTGACGTGTTGGTAAGTAAAAATCCTCTCAGTCGGTACGCAAACATATTCATAAATACGTGATTAATATGCAAAAATGTATGAACATTATAATCATTATGTCAATTGAACTCATCAATGATCATATATTACACACATATTGAACATCATAAAGTGAAGGAGATCCCGGGATTGCCTTTATTAAAAAAAAGTGACCCGGGACTGTATAAGATATACAGTAATCTCGGGCATTGACCACCTGTCATAGGTATCGTTGATAATTTATCAAAATTTTCAAGATTTTATTATTCACTCAATACACAATACATAAATAACAAATTACAAATGTTAACGAGATTAATAGTATGTAACTCACACATCTTAAAATATTTTTTTAACATAGACAGGAGAAAGTTTAACATTCAAACAAAATAAAACGAATTATTTCAAAAATATTTATCAAAGTTTAATATAATAATTCAGTTCAATATTTTTCTAACATTATTTTTATAAACATGCAAAGTTTTTATATATCACATAATGAGAGGGGTCAGTGTTCATTAATTTATCAAACTTTATTAAAATTGGATTTCTATACATATGTTTTTCTATCCATATTAAGATTTGGGCATTCTAACAGAAAATGAAAATCGTCGTCTATGAAAGTATTGCAGAGAGTGCATTTTCTCTGTTCTGTAGTTTATGATTTCTGGTTCTGAATTTGATCATATATTTTAAATATTTGGAAGGTGTTTCACTAAGGTATTTCTCAATTTCAAATTTTCTTTTAAAATACAATAATTTTTGCAATTAGATGTATTTTCTAGACCTAAGTACCACTGATTTATGAATATATCTGATAATTTTTGTTTAACTGATTTAACAAGCCAATTCACGTTAGGAAATTCATAACTCATCCAAATATTAGCCATTCCACATTCTATAAAAATATCTTTTTTACAAGTTCTCTATTTGAAATTGAAATTTGAGTGACTATTTTTAAAATAACTCAATGCAACTGCATAGATTTCTGTTGTAAGCTTTTTGTAATTTGTTACAATTAGATTTGCCCAAAATGAAATCATCCTTGCTTTAATTTCTATTGATAACGGTTTGGTACCAGTTTCACCATATACAATTATATAAGAAGTATTTTTCTTTAGACTTTAAATATGTTTTAAAAACTTAAGTTGCACTCTTTCATCAATGTCTAAATTTCCAAATCCCCAGATTTCACAGCCATATAAAAGTATAGGTTGAACAATTTTATTAAAAAGATCAATTTGAATATTTATAGGTAAGCAGAGATGTTAGTAATTTTTTTATTAAAGAATACCTAGCTTTTTAACTTGTTTGGCAATTTCTTGCTTTGTTTTGAAAAAAGAATAAGATCTGTTAAATTAGACACCTAAATATTTGTATTCATTTACGATTTCGAAAGTTTCGATTTTAAATGTAAAAGTATATTCGCGTTGTCTACCTCTTGAAAATACTAGTTTGTTTTAGAAGAATTTAATTTAAGTCTCCAAGCATCACAGTAATTAGCGTAGATATTTAAAAGGTTTTGCAAGTCTTCTGCAGTTTCTGTCATTAAAACGGTGTCGTCTGCATAAAGAAGTATGAAAAAATTTACAAAATTCATAGCTTCTGTTTCGAACCCATGTGTGTTCCATTTTACCCCTGATGCTATTTTACTACTATTAATAAAATCACTTAGACCATTCAAGTATAGAGAAAAAAACATGGGAGATAAATTTTCACCCTGTCGGACGCCCACATTACAAGGCAAGTAATCACTTTTTACTCTATTTACAAAATGCATGATTTTTTTATAACATTTAAGAAAGATCCATTTATATTGTTAAGAATAAGTTTTCCCCAAAGACTCTCTCTCCAAATAGTATCGAATGCTGCCTTTAAGTCGACAAAAGCACAAAATAAAGACTTTTTACTGGTTCTTATATTTTCTATCAGCGAATTTAAAACAAATAAGCTATTTTCAGTTGAATAACCTTTACGGAAACCGGCTTCGCATTTTTCAATTAAGTTGTTGTCAGTACAATAATGTTCTAGTCTGTTATTTAAGATTAAAGTAAGCAATTTACCAAGGCAGCTCAAAATGGTTATTGGTCGATTCTTTGATGGATTAGAAGGGTTACCTTTATTTTTAAATATTGGGTTTACTAAACCTGAAGTCCATGCGATAGGTATTTTGCCTGTTTTGAATACTATATTGAATAATATAAGAAATATTTCTTTAGTTTTTGGAAACGAATATTTTAAATGTTCATTCAATACATTGTCAATACCACTGGCTTTATTATTTTTCAAATGCTTGATAGCTTTTTCAATTTCTTGTATTGTTATGGGTTTGTTTAAGAATTTATTTGTTTCCATATTAATTAAATTATTATTTTAGTCTGTTTCCCACAATAGTTTTTTTCTATAAAATTGTCGTAAAAATGATTTCTTTCTGCACCTATTTTTTTCTTTCCATTTATTAATTTCCAAAATTTTCGAGGTGAATGTGATTTGAGTTTCTTAAAATTCCCTACATTAGAGAATACAAATTTTTTATGACTT